AAAAAAAAAAAAAAAAAAAAAAAAAAAAAAGAAAAGAAAAAGGAAAAGAAAGAACCTAGAAAAGGAGGAATGTGGCAAAACATTGTGTCTTCTCAGAGTCCTCATACTGAGGAGAGAAAGGGGTCCAAGCTCTCTGAAACGCCTCTTTTTTTTGTTTTGTTTTTCTGAGAAAACGTCTCACTACGTAGTCGAGACTGACCTGGAACTCTCTATGTAGTCCATGCTGGTCTAGAACTCACAGCGATCCTCCTGCCTCAGCCTCCCAAGTGCTGGGAGTCCAGGCGTGCGCCACCACGCCCAGCTCTGAAACTCTTCTTACAGGGGCATTAATGCCATCAAAGGCATCCGCCTCCTCTCACCCTAACCATCTCCTAAGAGCCCCCTCGCTAAATACTCCGGGAACTAGAGTTCCAACATGTGAATTTTGGGGGGCACAATTCAGCCCACAGAGTTCTACCCCTGCCCCCCATTCCCGTCATCTGCACAGACAAAATACATCCATTCTACCTCAACAGCTGCAGAAGTCTTAACTTGTCCCCAGCACCAACTCTAAAGCCCAAAATCTTATCTAAAGATCACCTCAGTCATATATGGCTGAGACTGGGCTATGATTCATCCTGAGGGAAAATTTCTTTTCAGCTGTGAACCTGTGAAACCAGATAAGTTAGGTATTTCCAAAATGCAACGATGTGGCAGGCAAGGCAAACCTGACGAACTCTCAGGTCTCACAACGACCCTTGGGCTTGATGTCCACCTTCCAGGCCCCAGCTCTGGGCTGAAGGCAGGCATCCCGTGACTCCTGGGCTGCTGCCCCCCCCTGGCTCTGCATGGAGGCAGGCTGCCCTGTTGAAAGCAAGGTCCTGGCCCTAATGACCTCTAAATTACCTTTACGTTCATGTTCTCTCTTTTCAAAAACAGCTCGTTTTAGACACGTAGCTCTATACCTATTAAATCCAAAAGAGTTGATGTCCTCTTTCATCTGGTCCCTTGTCTCCATCCTCTTCAGTTCAAACTGGCAGTATCTGTTTAAATAATCCTGTAAATTCTTCATCAAATGGTTGTTCAACCACACGCTTAGCATGTTCTACGGAATACGTTCTCATTTCTTTTCAGCATAGGTAGGCTGAGGGTTTGCCAGATCTTCAAGTTCTGGTTCCTTTTTGCTCGACGATTCTTTGCTCAGTTCACCTCTCCTTTCCTACTTTACTCCAGGAAGTCAAGATGAGGGATTCAGCTCAGTGGTTCCGCCACCTGCCTTGCAAGGGCAAGGTCCCGAGTTCGATCCCCGGTACCAAAAATAAAGTCAACATGAAAGGAGGGCACACCCTCAAACTGTTGCTCAGAATCTCCTCAGATATTTGATTTGCCACTGAGCAAGTTCTACCTGTCATAAAACATGAGGACACAGCTCAGCTGGGTTCCCTGCACATTAGCACGAAGTTTCCCTTTTCGCCACTATGAATGAGATGTCCCTCATTCCTGTCCAGGACCCTGTCAGAATGGACTCTACTGTCCATATTCCAGAACTCTTCCAGGGCCAAAGTCTCGTTACGGTAGCACCTCTCTACTGAAACTGTCTTACTCAGGCCACAACATCACACAATCGTTACTTAAGCAACAAAAATTCATTTTCTCAGTTTTGGAGGGTGGTAGTTCAAGATCAAGGTGCCAGAAGAGCTGGTTTCTAGGGAGGGCTCTCTTCCTGGCTGGTAGGTGACCCCCTTCGGCGTCTCCACAGGAAGAGGACAGAGAACCAGCTTCCCAGAGTCCCTCACAAGGGCACTGCACTACCCCTGTGTTATGGCTTTAGATGTCCCCCAAAGCCTCATGTGGTCACAGGTGGGGCTGTTTCAGAGGTGGCTGGATCTGGGGTGTGTGACGCAGGGATGGCTTCGTGGTGCAGTGCTAGGCTCCAGGGCACTGGGACTAAGAGCGTGAGAGCTGCCCGCCCTGAGGAGCCTGGAGAAGGTAAAAGGGATGGAAAGAGCTGTGGTCCTCCCTCGCTCGCTTTGCTACCTCCTCCCCACTATGAAGCGCTTCTCCTCTGAGACAACTGCCTACAAACCACCCTGCCCTGGAGCCAGCTTTAACTTTGGGTGTTGAGGGTTGTCGCAGCCATGACAGAAGGAACTAAATAACCTTGTCATCTCCACAGCTAAACCACATGACCCCCAGGACACAACCAGGCACCGTGGGTGGGGGCTTCAGGGCATGAATTTGAGGGGCATCGCTAGTCACGTGACACAAAGGCTCAGCAGGAACCTGACTAGCAGAACACACCTGCTTTCTCCTTGAGGTTGGGAGAGGAGGGTGCAAGAGAACAGAAACAACAGAGATCCTTTGAGTTGGTGCAGAATGCAAAAGGTACGCAAAGAGATTGTTCTGGGGATTCTATATCACTTCATTTTAGTAAATTTATAACACTGTTATATAATACTTCAGATTCTTTGAAGTAAAGAAAAAATGAATAGAACTTTTATAAAAGACACTATTGGTCAGCTGGGCATGGTGCACACCTGTACACAATTCTAACACTCAGGAGGCTAAGGCCTACATAAACCATAGGTGAGACCCTATCCCAAAAGACCAAAACCAAGCCAAACCAAAACAGGCCAGGCATAGTGGTGCACACTGTTATCCCAGCACATAGGAGGCTGAGGCAGGAGGATAACCATGAGTTCGAACACAGCCTGTGTGGGTTACAGTCAGTTTGAGGCCAGCTACAAAGGGAGACCCTGAAAACCAAACCAAAACAAGCAAACAACAAAAAAGAAACCCCTGGCGGGGGGTAGGGGAGCCTCCACATTACTGGAAAGACTCAGGATTCTTGGGAGAACTCTGAAGCAATTTTAGCAAATCTTAGATCCAGGCTAAACATCATGCACTCTCTTTGAAATGCAGCCCCACAGAGGGGTCCACACCGTGAAATGAAGATCTAAGCCCGGGCTGGGGCTTGGTTTTGGGAAGCAAAAGTATGAAATGGAAGATAAAACTAACTACCTGTCAGGCACTCTACTCCTAGACCTAAAGGATGAAAGGGCTTAAAAATCATCAGAACAGCCAGATGTGCTGTGGCTTGTGTGCAAAATGCACTGTGAAGTCACAGTGCCGGGGAGATGACAGACAACGGGAGGCTATGGTCTGGCAGGGCCTCTCAGTGCGAAACCCACTGCGGTGGTTTCCAGAACTACAGTCCATGCTGTTGCCAGACAAGGACATGGCCCTGTCCCTACATGACTAAGGGGACGCAGTGCCAACCCTGGAGCCTTCACAGAAGCTGGCAAGGATAATGCAAAGGAACTATAGGCCACCTGGAGCTGCAGGGGCTGCCAGGGACAAAGTGATAACAGACCACACTGGAGAGGGCTGGGGAGAAAGAAAGTATTCAGTGCTTTAGCAGGAGGCAGGAAAATGCTCCATCTGAGGAAAAACAAACAAAGGTTAAACCGAGTGTGGTGGCCACGCCTGTAATCCCAGCACTCCAGAGGCGGGAGGGTCGCTGCAAGTTCGAGGCCGTCCTGGGCTACACAGTGAGTTCACGACCAGCTTGACTACAGAGCAAGACTCTGTCTCCACCCCTCAAAAAAGAAACCTGGTTATCCAAGGTCCTGGGAAAGAGAAGGGGAAAAAAGACAGAGGAAAATAAGGGAAGGAAGGATCAAGAAGACAAATCCACAGGGAAATGAACAAGAATTAGAAAATCCAGAAAAGCAGCTGATAGCAAAAAAGATGGTCCAATTTAAAGAGCTCAGTTTATCCAGTGGTCAGCACAGAACAGATGCAGACCAAATACTTCCACAGTAAAAGGCGCTGCTTAATCCTCAGAGACAGTGAGCCCAGGACTGAGGAGGGCAGAACCGAGGTTCCTATGTGTGGTGAAGACAGTAAAACCCATATAGAAGATTTAAAATCCAGAAAGAGGGCAAGATGGGTGAGCTACAATTTAAAACAGGACGGCCTTCAGATCTGGGAGGCCCACGAAATCATATGAATATTCTGCTTATATTCTTCTGGAGAAAGAGTCAGAGCTTTTAAAAAGAATTTCAATATGAGTTCACGAGGAAATGATGTATTATCGAGCTTGGTATCTACGCTGAGAAAAGATCAGCAGGAATTCTTATAGTCAGCTTAAGAGATTCAAATAAAATTGAGGGCAAAGGCCGGGGATTTAGCTCAGTGGCTCTGCTCCCTGCCTTGCAAGCCTAAGGTCCCGAATTCAGCCCCTGGTACCAAAAAATAAATAAATAAAATTGAGGGCAAAGACACTGCTGAGTTCTTGGGCTGGTCCTAGGCTTGGAACGTTTACATAGGAGCCAAACTGCTACCTTCTGAACTTTAGTATTACCTGTCTGATAACACAGCAGATGCCTCTGAGACTTAGCGGACGCTTTATTTTCTCTATATTGTACTTCTCCAGCCCCACAAAGCAATTCGTATACATTCTCTCACTCCTGTTCCTAATGCTGCCTTGCAAAGTTATTAAGACATCAAAGGCATTGAAAGCTGTCCGGCTGAGCTTTTTCTCAACACACGTTAACAACTCTTAGTAACTCGTGGATACTGGCTCCATGCACTCGCTGTAGCCCTTTAAGCCGGCGCGAACAAAGCGTCCTCTTTCAGATAATTTATCCATCCCAACAGAAAGAAGCCCGCAGACGCCACACCAGTCCAGGAAGTTCCCAATCGGGAAGTTCCCAGCTCCACCGCTGAGAGCTCAAGTCCACTGAAACTGGCATCCTGATCAGATCACCCCGCCGGTGACGTGACGCTGAATTTTTTAAGACGTTATCACTTTTCTGTCATTGTGAAAACAAACCCACCATCACGCGCCTGCTGTTTCTGCCCTAATCACCCTCCACCTCCGGAGACAGCGCTGGAAACCCAGCTGTGAGCTCCCCTAGGTGAGCAATTTCAGGAGTTAGTTTAAATGACTACAATGTCCAAACGCGCGCCCCAAAGAAACCCTAGCAAGGAAACCACAGGAGGAAGCAGGATCTGGGGGTGGAAGGGGACACTAGACAATAAGAAATGTTTTTAAAGAATCGGCATTCGGGCAGTTAAGCCAAAGCCCACTAGAGCCCTCGCACACCCGGGACCTGTGTACTTTCTGCTCTCCCGGGAGGAGAGGTGAGGCAGGATGCGCAGGCTGACGATGGGACCCCAGGTCGGTTTTTTAAATGCCAGCACAGAGACGCCCTGCTGGAGCCCAAGGTCACGGGACGTCCTGAGGTGGGGGTGGGAGGAGCT